GACACCTGACTCAAGAAGCCTGTACGTTTGTCTCTTGCTCTCTTGGAATACTGCTGCCACTATGTAAGAAGCCCCCGTGACTTCGGTAGCCACCATCTGGGTGTGTTTGTTGTATTGTGGTGACTTGATGTTGCTGTAGGGCTGCAAAGTTATTTCAAAGACCAGCTGGGTCAACCTGTGACGCACAAGTTTCAATGGAGCTTTCAGACAAAGAGACTGAGGGGAAAGGTCTGGTAATCTAGCTCTGAAATGCAGCCAGGGAAAACTTTACAGATCGCAACAGAACACTGTCTGACTTGTGTGCCTTGGCCACATCACCAGGAGGGATGGACTGATAGAGGAGGACATCATGTTTGGCACAGTTGAGGGCCAGCCAAGGGTATGGGAGACCCTGGGTGAGCTGGACAGGAAACAGTATCTACAACAGGCTCAATGCTGCTAGTGTTGTGTGCCACTCAGTTCATTCTGGCTCACGGTGATGCTGTAGGACAGAGCAGTACCGTCCCTCTCTAGGGGTACAGTGGCAGATGGCCAGCTCTCTTCTCAGATCTGGGTTGAAATTGCAGACCTTTTAGTTAGCAGCACAGCTGTCCCTAAAGAAGCCATAGTGGATATGAGACTATACTGAAATTGCTTTCAAAAGGAGGCATATATTTGCAACCAAAAAAAAAGTCTTCTTCCCATCAATGTGACAGGAAGAGATGTTAAGGAGCAGAAGAAGCAACAGAAACTAGAGTTTAAGAAAGAAGAAGCTAGGAAGTTACCAAAAGTGAAGTGGCACATAGTTTGAAAACAGAGCTTTATTTTCAAATACTGCTGAAATCGACAGATTTGAAATGATTATAAAGTAGCACGAAGATGAATCTAGAATTTTTTTAGAGGGAATCAGCAGAGTTGAAACAGCACATGAACATAGGAACCCAGAACAGGGAAAGGCCAATTGTGAGGGGAGGGGGGTAGCTACTTGAACAACCAGGTCTTTAGATCTACACTAGCCATCCCCTGAAGAATTTTTCTTAACTTGAAAAAGCATTGTCCTCTGAATGCCTCCATTTACAAAGGGCAAGAGCATTTTGAAAGAACCTGTGGGTTTGGAATTACTACAGCAACCTCATGACTGTCAGAAGGGAAAGTATCTCTGCAACACAAGATGTCACAGAAGAGCAAGCAGTCTGGCTAAGACGACAATGCCCGTCATGACAAGACTCACTCACATGAAATGCACCACGAGACAGTGGCCAAACAGCTAACAGACAGACTGCCAGATGCTGAATAAACAGCATCGCTGATTTATCAGAATTAAGAAAAGCTAAATAGGTCCTTTTGGTTCTCCCCTTCTTTCTTTAAGAAGCCCTGGTAACCTTTACACTTTGGGCTGCTAACCTCAAGGTCAGCTGTTCGAAACCACCAGCGTCTCTGTAGGAGAAAGATGAGGCTTCCTACTCCCACAAAGATTTGGTGTCTGAAACCCAGAGGACAGCTGGATTCTGCCCTATGGGGTCACTAAGGGTCAGGATAGACTCGAAGGCAGTGAGGTTTTTAAGCAGGTTCTTAATTACAACATCAAAATATTTTAAAATAACACCATTCAGTCATTTATGAACTGTCTCTTTGGAATATCTGTAATTTAAGAGGAATGCCTGTACAACACGAACTGAAACACAACTTGGGAGGGGAAAGCACTTTCCTTAAATGCAACCCTATCATCTCTAAAAGCCTAAAAGTCCCAGCCCGCGGTCGAGAATTTTTTAAAGCGACAACAGAGGCAATGAAAAGGTACTCGAGTCTCTAACACGTCTACTAAGCGGTCAGTCACCTCGGAACTCATTGAAACAACCCTCCGCGGAACCATCAAATAGACCGGAGTACAGTGTCCTTCCTGGTCTCCTACGGAGAGAAAGCCAGGCGTAAAGAGAAGTGTGGCAAACTCAAAGGGCGAGAAGTTACACTTTAGCGCCCACAAACGAAGGTTAGCCCCTCACTGGCCCACATTAAAGTGGCGATGGCTCTGACCTATATCCAGGGGAGATTAGGGAACCGCTCACCCCACCAACAACGTGGGAAACCAATCACAGATGTTCAGGAAGCGGCTGCGCTCCTGAAGAAACCTGGAGGGCGGATGAAGAGGCCTTTTTCTTTTCTTTTCCTTTTTTTTTTTATATAAGATGTTGCATTAATCCAAGCACAGATCAGCGACACTGCAGCCGTCTTCCCTGGACGGCTTCGGTGCGAACCTCTTTCGCAACTGGAGTTGATAAGCGTCCTCCCAGAAGGAAGGTGGTGGTGCAGGAAATGGTATCCTCGCAGAGCCCAGGGAACCCGTGACGCACGAGGGGCTTGGAAAAGATCCCGACCTTTACCTGGCTGGGAGCGGTGAGGTAAGAAAAGGGCCACGTGCACTATTGTTTTCCAGACATGTTTATTGCTTT